TTGTCGCTAATAAATATTTTGAAACAAAATTTTTTCCTGTCTGTGGGCTAGTAAAATATTCTGTGGGCTAGTAAAATCTCTAGTAAACTAGCCCAGTGGGCTAGTTACCAAAAAAAGTTAGGGCAAGCTCTGAATTCTACCATTATCCTTATACCACACAAATTTCTCACATAAAATTTGATATTGTGGACAAAGCTCTATACCTTTTCAACATGTGTTTCATTCAAAGAATTCACTCCACACAGCTTGAGGTCGTACAGGTTCGGTAGTCGAGCAAGAGCATTGTGAAGCATGTCCCCATCAGCCTGTAGTCCTCCCAGCGACAGCGACGTGATGCTCTGAGGCAGGTACTCCAACACATCCTGATACGGGTCATCAAGGATGTGGTAGCAGAATGAAAGGTCAAGCTCTTGCAGCTTAGAACAATTTGAAAATAACTATCAAAAAAAAAATAACACCATGAAATGTAAGTGAATATCTGTTATAATACTACTGAATAATAATCATGATCTCACTCGGGCAAGTCGCGTGGCCAAGTGGTAAGGCAGGTGCGCTGCTAACTACAGCCTTAACTTGTGCACTGGTTCCAGCCGCTCCTCCCCCAGGGTTTGGTCGGTAGAACCAAGTCTTCTAAGATAAAGACTTAAAAATGGAGGTCCTGTGTATACATTTGGCTCGTGTGCACTTTAAGCGCCTCTTTACGGCTGCTAGGTAGTCACGGACCACGCCCATATGCAATTCAGCAGAATGACGCTGCAAGTTATAGGTTATTCTCCTACCTCTAAATTTAACTGTCCTTTTACTGCTATTAAAGAAGGGCTTCCATAAAAATCGCTACACGCTATTGTCGACTCCTTTGGCAAAACTGATTGGTCAGTTGAAACCGGCAGTATTCCTGATTGTGTCGGGGACAGCTACGCAGTGCAAGGATTGTGAAAACGCTGTAGCGACTGTGTAGCGATTCTATGGAAACCAAGCTTTATTTCCACCCCACCCTCTTTCCCCTTCACCAACCTACTCTCTACCTCAACTTACCTGTAACATACACTCCCCTGTAATTCTATTGCATCCATGTAGACATAATCTGAAAATGAACATACATATTATTATCATTACTGTTTAATATTATTATTGATGCTTTTTGTATTTTTATTATTATACACGTCTCCCTCCAATTAAAGACCATTTTTGGGAACGGGATTTCCATGGTCTTAACAGCTTTGGTGTCTAATTACTGTACAACAATAAAGATAAAAGAAATTTGTAAATTTTGGACCAAAGAAAAGTGGTCTTTAATTGGAGGGGTCTTTAATTAGAGGTAGAGTTGTATTATTTTATTACTGTTATTCGATGAAGACTGACTGACTGATCGATTTTATTTTATTCATTCATTAATATACACATTTTCGAACACTGGTGGTTTTTTTGTGTGTTTTATTTGCACAAATTATTAGGTCCCTAAATAATTTTTTTGTTTCAATTCTGTTGTTTGTTAAAAGGAAAAAAACTTACTTTCTAAGATTTTTACACTGGACTGCTAATAAAGACAATGCGTTATCACTCAGTGTGTTTAGACAGCCTAGGTTTAATTCCTCCTGTAAAATATCAAAATGAAAGTATGAATTAAAATCTTATAATTATTTAGTGTCGCAACCTTCTCTGCTCCCTGGGGAGTATACCTAGTTGTGCATGTGTACGCAGCACACAAATTTGTAAAATGAATGCCACAACATCTTACCAGGTACCCATTTATATTCCTGGGTAGAGAGAGACAAACATATATAGTTTCAAACCCCTGACCTCAAGGTTGGGAGTTGAAGCCACAACCGATGCACCAAACACTTTGGAATGGTAATGGTATTCATGACCATAAAATTAATAAAACAATTAAACAATTTAATGTCACACTGTTCACAAAATTAGATTGGTTTTTATAAAAAACTCTGAGATTGGTAAATCTTTTTCGTGCAAGTAGCATAATGCATATTACACCAATCGTTGTTTGTATTGTTTGAACTCTCCACTTCTAGTAACAGATCGTGGCCCATTTTACAACACATAAGTTTAAAGTAAAAACAGCCTCATAGTATCAATGGCTACATCAAACGGTACAGTACTCTGTGTTTACATGTAAATCTTCTTGCTAGACTTTCAGATAGCCAGCACCTTATCCTATGATTAGGATTGGGAGGAGCATCCATTCCCATTTCCAGTCTCCTGGGTGGATTGCTATAAAACGGTCTTAACTGGTAGTCTTAGCTCCTTGAACAAGGCCAGCTTTATCACTTAGATGGTCCTACTAAAGTCACTCTGCTAAGACCATTTCTATATAAAATGGTCTTTGCTTAGACAGATTTGAGTATTAAAATGCAAACAAGCACTCCCAGTTTAACATAAAATTGAGTGCACTGTTACATACTTCACACTTGCTCACATGATGAAGTATCAAAATTAACGTAAATAACGTAATTTACAGACGCCAAGAAGTTTGCAGAATATTCGTCGTTGGATTCTTTGTCTTTGACAATCAACGCCATGATGAAAATTATTTTCAGCCACCTCTGAGTAGGCTTTTAAATTTAAGACGGCTAACTGGTTAGACCGCGGTAAAGCAATGGTCTATAATCATAGACCAGTAGTGAAGTCACGATCATAGCCAACTAAGACTGTCTAAAGACCGCTTACAGCAATCTCCCCCTGGGATCAGAATGCAAGAATGTAGCTTATCTATCAATCCCAGAACCTGCCACCTATCTAACCAAGGCCTAAATCCAGACCACTGCAGTGCCTATCAACATAAAACAAAAGCATAGCACAATACTCACCAAATCATCTTTCAAGAAGTTGGCGATGTCTGGGATAATTTCCTCTGTGAGTTTGTAACAGAGCTCCAGATTCAAAACTTTGATCTTTGTATTTTTGGTCACTAAACTTTGAATACCTATTAAAATTAGGAACAGAAATTGTACACACAATTAAATATAAAAGGTATTTAGGTAGTTGGATGGAATGTTAATAACATTTGTAATCATATTAATATAATGATAACAGAATAGTACATATACTACAGTAGTGAAAAACAGTACTACATCTTATTAAATTTGACATAATTATCAGGTGGGGCAAAGTCCGAATTGCTCAATCCATTTACTATACCTCTTTAGTTTATTAATCTAATTGGATTGCATTTCTTTGGTGTGAAACAAACCAAGTATAAACCACACAGGCAATGATACTAGAAACAAAAGTTAGAACTCTCCACAGATAAAAACTGAATTGCATGGTGGGTATACTGTAATAACGCAGGTTTGCTTACCTCCCGCCGTACGTGACGCCCCATCATATGAGGCACCACATATGGAGGGAGATAAACAAACTTGCATAAATTGTCATTATTGGAAAGAGACTGCCGCAGCAGTCTGAAGATGAGTAAAAGATATGATGTATATCCGCTTCACCTTTACTATGCGAGAGTTCTAGCTTGTGTTTCTAGTATCTTTCACAAAGGTCTGAAGACTTATTGGGGTTCTTCTAGTTCTAGTGGTGAACTACGTGCTACATCGGAAGACAACCCCCTGGTCTTTCCAAAAGAATATACCTCAATCTTTAATGTGCAAATGACAATTTTGAAGATGGGACCAACAGTTTAAATGCCTCACCTGAAAGACGGCAGACCAGGGATTTAAAGACAATATCATTAATAATCCTATATTATAGACCTACCTTTGTTCCCAATATTTCCACAGTTAAACAGATCGACATGCCTCAGCTTTTTTGAATTGATCGTCTGCAGACCCTTGCATGTGAGATGGGGAAGACTTCTTAACTTCAATACTGCAAGTTCAGTTTGTTTGCCCATCAACACCTCAATCCCTGTGTCTGCAAATTACAAATACCGCAACAAACGTTTCTCAATGTGTGTAATAATTCTGTGTTGCCCAAGTTTGATCTTAAAAATCTCAAAATTCTAAAGTTGATATATAATATTTTTCCCTCAAAGAGTATAATGACGTACGCAAAGGCCACTTTTCAAGCTTTTGTTAATAATTTTGATACTTTCACAATTTTTTTTTTCAGTTCTCACAGTGCTTTGGCAACCTTCATATTTTTTTTGGGCCTAATGATGATGCTTTTGATAACACCGATTATACTGATGAGGATAATGACTATGATATTGATAATAATGATGATGATAATATAGTTTTTAGTTTTCCTTTACATCCAACAGCAAGTACACTCACCACTTACAGGATAAAACAATGTTTTAAAAACCAAGTATCTTTAAGAGGCTTTAGGGAGTGGAGTTGTTCTTAGTGGTGAGAAAAAGTCCTGTTGTGACAGGAATTGAACCCAGGACCCTGGGATTAGAAGGCAAGCAACCATTAAGCTATTCAACTATAGGCCTAGTACTGTATGTGCTCCGTCACTACTAAAGCCCTGTTTAAACTATCAAATTTGATTTTAAAAAAAACATGTGATATGCCTAAATATGGCTAGAATTACATCAAATCATGACCATATATAGGCACATCATGACTATATATGGGAATACAACAGATTTTTGCTAAAGAAAATTTGATCATCTGAACAGGACTTAATACAGTTACTTGTAAAGATCAGGATGACTACATTTTTAATACCCAGGACAGTATGAACAAAGGTTCAACTAAATCCAACCCATCCCATCCCTTAACCCCAACTCACCTGTAACTTGTGTGCAGCCATTGATGGTGATGTTCTCAAGTCTGCAGAGGCACAAGTCCAGCTGGATAAGTACTGAGTCAGATATTTGCGGACATCGGTTAAAGCAGATTTTTTTGATCGCAGGTGAAAACAGATGGTATGTGACGTACGGTAGGTATTCTAACGTTAGCATGTCATGGTCGACCAATCGGCGTAAGAGCGCCTCCTTGTGCTGGGTTGGTAAGAGCTTGCCAACTTGGCTGATTGTGTGTAGGTTGCGGCTGATGCATTGTAGACAGAGGTCTTTGAGTTTTTTCACCATGGTTGATCCTAAGACATTAAATCATAACATCATCAGTTAGTCACATTAAGACATTAAATCAATAAAACAAAAAATCAAACAATTAACCACTACTTACAGTATACTAAGTAATAACTATTACTAAACATTCCAATAACATTTTTGCTGTCAAGATAAATAATATGAATCGATGTTCGCCCTACCTGACATGTTATTAGTACTGAATGCTCAATACATACCCAAATGCATGCGACAACAATCTTGCAAACTGATTCAGGTGGTAATCGAACCCACAACCTCCAGACATAACAACTATCCTGGTGTCTAACCACTCGACCACCGAGCTTGTGCTAGGTGGCTAGTGATGAACGTGATCCCTAAGTAGCAGCGGGTACTGCAATGCTATACCAATGGCGTCAGGTAGGGCAAACATCAATTCATATACTAGTCAGCAAGTCATTTTCATTTTTAACTTGTGCTTTTTTTTACTAAATATAAACAAAAAATATAATCAAAAAAATAAATTATGTTATTAAAATAATGTACGCCAAATATAAAACTGTGTAAAATAAAAGTATGTCCACTCTTCTTTAACCAAAGTTCTCAGTTCTCTGAAAACTAAACAATGTTATTAAATAAACACAAAAAAAATGAAGTTATAATCACAGGAAAGACTTGGAAAAAGTGTTGACTTCAATCACAAGTTTCGAAGAACAGTCCCCTTGTTTGTGGTAAATGAAGCTAAGCCAAGGTCTATCTAATGCTTTACCAACTACTCTGTTACAAATACATGCACAATTTTATTTAAAAACAGAGGATGTGTCTATTTTGGAAGGTGACGTTTACTGATATCGCAATATGTTATGTATTCTTTCCTATCCTAGCCCAGCCCAACACAACAAGGTGAGTCATTAAACTCATCATTCACACAGACAGGCGTGATGACGACCACCTTCCGTCGTGATGACGATACCTTCCGTACTTTCATTCTCTAGGCCCTACATTACCGATATCAATCTGGCCGAGAAATATAAAAGTAGGCCTAGATAAAAAGGGTCTGATACCAGGCTAGACCCCAACTACCCAGCCAACCTAGGCCTAGGGTCTCTAGCTTGCTGCCACGACGTTCTTCCCAATTCCATCTGAGCTCTTCTTCAATCTAAGGCCTAGCCTGGGCCTACCTAGTCATACAATCTCCATTCTGGATTCAGGATTCACTTTTTAGTTCACCATCCTTATTTTATTCAAAAGTTGATATGCAAAAAAAAATGTTTTGACTTCCAACTGGAGAGCCTTAATATGCTATAGGCCCTATTGTTAGTTTAGACTAGCCTTGGATAAATTTGCTAAGTATTTTTATGTTCAACAGCAAGAGAGAGTGTGTCACTCTGTATGTGCGCGAGCGTCAAGTTAAATTCAACTGGTCACTCACATCTCTTACCTTAAAAAATGAACTTTGCAATATTACTCTCATCCCTTTAACAATCCGACAGACAATAAATAAACGCATGAAACTAAAAACTGTCTTGAATCTAATAACGTATAAGAATTCATACCAAACTGATGATGATGAAAAAAGCGACCTTTCGTACCTTTCTCTTTAATAATTCTCTATTTGATGTAGCAGAACGCCCTCTACAGAGTACATTACTGCCATACTGTATACGACGTACGTTTTGAACAATTTTGACGTTTCCGTTTGTATCACTTAGGTCTAGGCCTATTCTAAGTCATATTATCGTTTTATGTATTCTAAATTTCTAAATCTAAATTTGAAATAATTGCAATATTAATTTATAATGATACAATTATAAAATATCATGTCAAAATTATACGTTTTGAAATTTTAGATTTGACTGAGTATCATCCAACATCGTCAATTTACATTTTGTGAAAATGAAAAAAAAAAATCATTCTCGTATTTTTAAAAAGTAGGCTAATATGCCTTCAAACAAAATAACTGTGATGAAGCTGATGGATGGCCTAAACATTAACAGGACTAAACATATCTATGAGAAATATATAAGTGATAGACAAGGATATGTCAATATGTATCGCCTGATTGAGTTAGTTAACGTCAATCTAATAAAATGCTACGATTGGGCTAGGTATAATTATAATCAACCTTATACAAACAATAGCGTTATTTGAACCAAATTTGAATAGTCAGTGGTGGCGCGAGCGGGGGCAGGCCTGGACCCCCTGTCGTCCGACGCACGTCTGGTCGTCGGATCAAAAATTTTAAAAAATTGGCCTGCATTTGCCTACTATCTAAATAACGTTATTTTGACTGCCAATCCGTAATATTTTATTGTAAAAGCACATTTTGGACCATACTAAGATAAAAACTCTTCCCGTGAACCCTACAAAGGGAGTTTTTATTCCGTCGACAGGCTTCGTCGGCCCCTCGGACTGTCTGACCCCTTGTCGACAAATTTCAGGTGCACCGCAGCGAGGTAAGTGCCAGAGTTCCAAGCACATAAAAATGATCGCTGTACCTACTTGCTTTATTTATTTGGTTTGATTGATTGGAAAAACGTGAAAGTAAGAAGATTCTGTCTGTTATATTCTAATCTAAGAAAGAAGTTTATTAGACAATTAGGCCTATATATTACGTCCGTCTACCATATGTATACTTTGAGTTCAAAGAAAGACAGATCTATTTGCAGGACTAATTATTAGCCTATTTTTATATTTGTATAAGGGCCAGAGGCCTATACTTAAATATATTCTTCGTCTAAAGAGAATAAAAGTATACCATTAGAGTCAGTGCCTTCTAACATTTTCATAAAATGTTGGGGGTTAGCGCGAACGCAGTCCCCCGCTACCATAAATTATACACCCGAGTTCCAACATTAGAGGAATCGCAAGGGTCAACCACAGCTAAGTGCAATGCCGAGGCCTCACCTTGGGAGGACTTCCTTCTTGATCAAAGTCTCTCCTGTGCCAGGTAAGTATGCTTATAACGTCGACCATTTCCTTATATATAATAGTAAACATAGCACGGAATACTGGTGTCATTCCGACAAAACTTTTTTTCCTTCAGATGTACGGATCCTTTTACCTTCAACATAATAATGTAATAATAAATTGATATTATCTAGGATCGTGTCTTTTCGAATGTGAATCATGATATTAGTTTATATAAACTAGTCTGATTATGAACTTATTCAAATTTTCTTGTATATAGATATCCCTCTGAATTAGTCACCATCGTTGATTACTCATATTTTTTTATAGAGCGAATTACTTAGTAAAGAACCAATAGAGTATAAAACCAAAACAAGCCGGTAGATGGCGTTGTTTATTTCCCAGCAAACACAAAACGTTATTATAGCGTTTGAAAGTTGAAGGTATGTCACAACTCAAGTGTTTTTACGGGTGGTTCTTATTTATATTCTTTCATTAATGGACAAACTTCAATACTGAATGCTCCTGTTCACCAGACTCAATATTTTTGCAACCAGTGCACAAAAGTTTGCATGTGTGGTTTTTCTCTTTTAAATTTTATTCATTTATTTATTTTATTTATTTACTA